ATCTATCTATCTATCTATCTATCTATCTATCTATCTATCTATCTATCTATCTATCTATCTATCTAATCTTACTTCTACCCAGAAGGCATTCACAACCATAGTTACTTAAAAACTACTAATTCTTTCCTCTCTCCTTCAGGAGGTCTTCCTGACCACTTCAAGTCAGTGTAATCTTAAAACATCTGTCATTTCCCTCATCTCTCTCTATACCACTCACCTTCGTTGATCTTATTGAGCTGGCCAGATGCTCCCAGTATGTGAATTGGTTTCCTCCAGTGACACTGGAGCAAACTCTGTTTCCTTCACTTCTCCAGCAATTGTCCATTGTTTTACAACACTTACTCATTTGTTTATTCAGTGAATATTTATGGAATATTGATTATGTGTCAAGAACTGTGCTAAGTACTAGGAATGCAAAGATTGGTGAGACATTGGGAGCTTAATAAATGAATGAAAAATGACATGGCTCCTGGGAATTTCTGCATTCCTGGAATGAGCAGCTGCACTATGACCTGGCAGGTAGTAAAGCTGAAAAAGTAGAGGGGGCCAAATTATAGGAGGCATTGCCTCCAACAGAAACAGTTTTAATAATATCAGTAAGTCAGTGGGGAACTGCAGGCAAATTTTTTAGCTCAAGAGTTAATATTAGTCAGATTTTTTACTTTGTATGATGCAGATCACATACTCAGCTCATAATAATTACCTGAATTAAACAGTAAGAATATTTCATTATTGACTTAAATGTATTTTTGCAAGGCTCTTCTCTGATTCTTTTTTGGACTACCTGTTCCTAACTTTGTATATAACCTGTTACTCTAAGGGGAGTTTCTTTCCTTTTCACTTTTTTTTTTTAAAGATTTTTATTGGGGAATTGGAGGATGGGAACAGGGCTGGGGAACTGGGGGAAAGGGAACAGACAAGTTGCTGTCCTTTTGTTCTTCAGTCTAGTTATGGAAGACGTTGCTTCACTGGCCCAAGTTGACACCATCATTGCGCTCTTCCCAGGCGAGGCATATCAGTCGCCGGCTTCTGGACAGCCACTCATGGCTGATGCTGGCCACTCACGCTGGCTGCTGGCTACACACGGTAGCCCATGGCAACCCACTGC